TTTTGAATTCAGACCATAATATTTAATTTGAATGTTTACAATCAACCTTGTGATTTCTTTTTTATTTTTAGAATAAGAAGAAAGATAGAGATTTGTAGAAATCATATTTAACAGTTAATAGAGTTACTTTAACAATACACACAAATGAACCGGGCCATGATTGATGCATCTATTTAAACAACAATAATTTGTTAAAAATATGCAAAAAATAAAATGTGAAGGAAAGCATTTGTTAGCATAAAGGCTCCACTTTTTTCTCTTGCTATTTTGCAGTGCAATTAATTACTGAGTTCATTAATTAATGAACATATTAGAGAAAGACACCATTACTGACTAGGAGAGATCTGATATATTACTGAGTCAATAAAGTATTGAACACTCAGAAGGACCTTTTGGTAGATTCTCCCCACCCCCTTCATCTTGTAACCCACAGTCACATATATTATTCTTGCCTAGTCAGCAGTTTTGTGGGTGCTCTTATATTTCATATTTCTAATTCCTTTAATCATTGATAGGTACAACAGTGTTTTACAACCTCACTAATGAACAATTGGTCAGTTGTCATTGGTTGGAACACTTAAATGTCAGGTGCAGTACAGCAAGATTCTCCCCCTCCTTTTAACCGTCCCTTTTAGAGTAATATAAAGCAGCAGCTGGAGAGAGAAAGGCAGGAGACACTTTCAAAAAGAATGATCATGGAAGAGATAATAAGATTTTATTAGATACCAGTGAACAAAGGAAATAATTTATAAAACATGATTTATGTTAATTCTTTTGGAAATAGTCTCTGTTCTACTTGTTCACAGAGATAGATACTTGCTCCGTTAGATAGCTTTGGCTGATAATGTTAAGGACAAGAGTCAAAAGGTTGTGCGAAGTGTTCTGTATGAGCAACAGTGTTTTTTCATACACCCTTCCCACTGCAGCCTGTTGTATACTCTAAGAGAAGTTCTTGAACTTCAGGAGTTCAATCCTCTTCCTCTTACATGGGGTGTGAGCCAATTTAGTCAGAGAGATGCAGTTTGAAAAACAAATTGATATCTTTCTCAGTGTTAGCAAAAGAGGTAGTTCACACCCATGCAATTTTCCTGAGAAATGATCTGATTTCCTACATATTCATATGAAATTGATCTCTATATATTCAGTGTGATTTGTCCCCTAAGTAAGGACTTACTTGCACTGCCCAGTTGCCTTTTTGCCAGAACAAGATGACAACTCTTTGTGGAGGGCAGAAACAGATGACACTTATGGCATGTTTTTCGCTCCCTTTCCAAAGTACACTTTTCCATGTTATGTTGCCTCAAGCCCCTTGTCTATTTTGTATAGTGTGCTTAAGCTTGTTGCCAGCAAGCTCCAGTTCATTGGCTACTTCATACAGGCGGGAACATCTCTTCAACTGGGTAAATATTTACCATGTTCTCTGATGCCTTTTACCATGAATGCCCTAGTAGTACAATGTTTATAGCACTTGTCTTGTAAATAGAAGGCTGTCGGTTCAAAATCCAGTAGAAATCTTTTCTTTCTATCTTTCTGTCTGTCTCTCTCTCTCTGAATTTCCTACTTTTTCCTGTGCTTCTTTAAAAAAAAAAAAAATCCAGCAGAAAATATTTTATTGTTTTATCAGTAACCTGAGATAGAAGAATTTTACCCCCAGTTCTCAAATAACCCATAGAGCTCTTTGGGACCTGAAGTCAAAACCCTTCTATTTTCAAGGAAGATTTATAGCCATTGTGCTATTACAGCATTCATGATAAAGATATCTCTAAAATATATTAGAGAGCAGTAGACAGTAAGAAAGACGTTTTTTTTAAAAAGCTGTAGTTATGCTTGCATACATGTACATTTTGAAGCTTTAACTTTGTATATATAAGTTTAATTTAACTTTGGGTGTGTGGCACATACACACATACACACACACACATACATAGACACAGATATAAAAGTATATATGTCCAAGATGATCTACCCATAGGAAAAAACAGAAAGGTGGGGGGGCACAGTAGTAGGGGATTGTCCAATGGGAAAATGTAGTCTGCTGTTTGGACTGAATACCCTGCAAGCTGTTGCTGGATTTTTCAATTTGGACATAATTTTCCTAGGCTGCTTTATCAAACTGGCATAAACCCAGGACAGGAGCAGCTTAAATATTAAGTGTGGAAATGCCCTAAGTGTGTATATGACTGCATTCAAAAGCACTAGCCTGAAACAATCCTATAAAGTACAATTTTGCAATTTAAAAAAATCAGATAAAGCATCATTCAGGAATTTCTGATATTACTGCAGTTGCAGATAAAAGCTCCCTCTCCCTGCCTTTGACCTTCGTATAATAAATGGTTGCATTCAGATTGGCAGACTGATCATTTCCTGGCATCTTTAGTACTTACAGTACATTGTTAATGTGTGAATGATGAATTTAATTTCCCTCATTTCAAAAACCTGTGTGCAAATTAAGCCTAAATGCATACCATACTTTTATTGCTACTAGTTTTAGGGGCACAGGTCGTCTTCCGTATTATTTAAAAAGTGAGGTCTTGGCCTAAAATAATGTCTTGGTTATTATTTATGTATTTGCTTTATGTGTTTTTTCAAATTATCCAACTTTTCCCTCCAAAGTAATTTTTTATTCATACCAGATGTGTTTCAATCTTACCTACTTACATTTCGTTATAAGAAGGGGGCATGTTTTTAAAGGAATCTTCTAAGTTGTCAAAAGGTGAACTTTTATATCTTGTAAAATGAAGCAGTGATAAAGGTAAATTTAAGCTGGTGCAGGTCTCTTGAAGTTAGTTTTCTTCAGTACCTCCATATTGTATTGGTGCTTAGGAACATATTGACCCAATGAAAAGCTGATGCTTACATTAAATATTAGATAAGTCTTCAGAAAAGAAACATGAGATACTTGGGGGTGGAACAGAGTGGGGGTAGAGGAATCTTCGCTCTGTATTTATCTTTCAACACATACTTCAGTCTGTTTTAAGCAGCATGTCATGCTACAATATGAAGATATAACTGACTTCAAAAAATTACTTTAGGCATTTGGTAAGCTTGTAAGAAAATATGTGCAACATATACATATTATCCTACATTTGAAATCCAAATGTGGATGTTGGTCTCCACTATTAAATTGTATTTATTCATTTCCATGGCTGCATGTGATGACCTAATGCTTCCTACAGTTGAAGTAACTCTGGAATAATGATAAATTTTACTCTTTATGACATCCCCTTGCATGAATTTTTTAGAAAAGCAAACATCAAGCCATTTTATGTCAAATTTTGTTCTAATATTTATTATATAAAAAAATTGGGGAAATGAGAAGTTGAACTATTTTCCAACAAATACTTAAGGAATAAAAAAATACTAATGTTTCTGCTTATTTTTGATGGCTAAGATCCATTGGACCATACATGGTATTCCACATTTACACTGATTCTTCAGCCTCAGTGTTTGTACTGCGGGGTGGGGGGGAGGTTGCACCTAAAAATCTCCTCTGAAAAATTGGGAATCATCCAGAATAGCATTTGATGTATTGTAAATGGCTGCAGCCATAGGAAGATATCAGATTCCCAACTATTCTAAAATGCGCAGAAGCATTTTAAGGGCTCTTCTTCACATTGCTTGCCTCCACTTCTGAGCTCTATCCTGCCATGAGAAGAATCTTACCAACTGGGGCTCCCTTTAAGATACAAGTATTTTAAAGACAGGGATAGTGGATTCTTCTGGATTTGTGTCTCTGCTTTCTCACCAAATGTCATCTGGCACTGGGAAGTGAGTTTTGAGAGATGCCTAGACTAGCAAGTTTAGACATCTGTCAAAATCCATCTCTCCAGGCTCTGAACAAGCTTTTGGAAGCTTTTTCCCAGGCCGGGAGAGGTAACAGGAGAGGGTGGGGAGATTTATCTTTATGTGCCAAGTCCCTGATTCCATGGACCATCTTTTTGACAGAGCAGTAAACCTGTGTGTAAAAGTAGCCTAATAAGACAAGGAGAGAGGTTGCACTATGTATGTAGCAAGAGTCTTTCACCACTGTACTGTACTTCCTCACACCTAATAAGTGATTTTCAAACATGGGTTTACCGCTCTTCTGAAAGAATGGTAAACCCACATTCAAAAGCAGCCCAAACAACTACTAACAGGCACGGGGCAGTGGGAGGGCGGGGTGGGGGGAGAGATTGCACTGTAAAGTTGCAGAACTGTCTCTTTCTCAAGCATTACCACACAGCTCCATCCATTGGTTAGCTGATCCAGGTCTCCAAGCTGGGTACTGGCTCACAGATCTAGTGGTTCAGGAAGAAAGCCAAGTTTGAAAGATCTAGATTTTTCTGCTTCCCAGAAGAGTGGGTAGCAAAACAGCTCTAGACGACAGTGCCCAGAAACAGGAGAGGAGGGCTATGTCCACAACAGCCTAAAGCAGCCAATAGTTGCTACACATAGTTGCTGTCCCATTGACATGATGGTTGATGAAGCACATTTGATTGTACCTGTCTGCGTAAGCCTGGAACAGCTAAGGATAACTTAAGGCTGTCTCAGGTATGTGTTGGGAAAGAGATGATATAACACATACAACAGTATGTGGACATGCCAGAAAAAAGAGGTTTCTGGAGTATGTTAATACTGTGGTTAGGTCAAAATAGGGAAATGTCCTGATAGTATATATAGATCTTCGTAGCTCCATGTTAAATGCAGATTGAGATCTGGTATATTGTGTCAAAGGGTGAACTATGATTTTTGAAGTCTACAGATCAAATCTTGCCTCAATGTCAATTGTTTTGATGTCATTAATCTCTTCAGTGACTCCTGAATTTACAATGCCGGCCTTCCTCAAAAATAATTTTAAGAGTTATAAATATTGAGATAACGTATATGAAGAACTTTGAATGGTTTAGTTATAAAATTACTACTTATTCTTCTTTTTCAAGTATTTTTTCATATTTTTATAGACTTTCTTATAAAAGTTTTTTTATAAACTTTTCTTGTTTTAGGCAATACGCTGCACATTGGTAAATTGCACATGTGAATGTTTCCAACCAGGGAAGATAAACCTGAGAACCTGTGATCAGTGTAAACATGGCTGGGTGGCACATGGTAAGAACTTACTTGCTGTTTGTTTCTCTTATGTTTTTCTTGTGTGTTTGTATGCATGTCTGCAACTCTAGACATATGCGTACATTGCTTTTGTGCTAGAAAGATCTACATTAAACAAAGCTGTTTATAGTCATTGATCAAATATCAAAAGAAAGAATGAACCTTCATCATCTGTTGAAAATAATAAAGCTATTATTCTGTTATTCCAAACCCAAGCGACCTCAGATGGAAGTAAGCAGGTTTATCCTGTGAATTCCTGGATAGACACTGCTTGGAGTATCTTGATGGAAAATGAGCAGGTCATAAATATTCTAAATAGTAAAACACACTATGCTATATATACCTGAAAGAATCCTAGCCTCTAACAAGAAGTGGAAAGATTAGTACTTTTAGCAGCTCGGTAAGACACTTTTACTTCGGATATATTACATTATTTGGTTTTGAAGCAGACTTCTCCCATGTGATGTGCATTTTTGTCAACATTGACAGAGCATAAAGCTAGAAGTTTATTGAAAATATTATGGCAGCTGTAGTAAAGGAACATGTGAAAGATGGGGTTAAGAATCATGCTCCCAATTGTCTTAAAAGGAGTTGCACTCTGAATACTATTGAGGAAACCTGTCTTCAACCTGTAGGTTTTTAATACCTATTGCCATTTGCTAATATTTCCTTTTCAGACAAAGTGCTTGAGGCTGGCTTGCAATTCAGAGTGCACTTTATGGAAAGATTTTATAGACCTATTTCAGCATAACTTCAGGTCTGGCGGTGAGACCAAAATTGTCTTGGCTCTCCTATTGGATGTCAGAATAGAGACATCACTTAGTGTAGAGAGTGTTGAGTTTTCATCATATTCATATGTTCATACTACAAGAACATATTGTAAATAGTGTTAACATAAAGTGCACATGAAATAGATCTTAGGCCAATAAATATTTTAAAAATTAACTGTATTTCAGTTAAATCATAATTAGCATCTTTCACTGATTTTGTTTCTGACTTTTGTACCTGCTCTTTAACTCTCTGAATCACTCATAAATTGCATACATTAGATGTGATCAGGCATCACTTTAATAGTTAATGGTTAGTTAATAGTTTAGCATGTAGAGAACGAGCTGCAGCAAGCATCAGGCCTGGGTACTGCCCTTCCTTTTTATCCTTAGGTGTGGCTGAGAATATACTCGAGAATTTCAGGGTCAAGTACAGTCAAACTCTGAATGTTAACTATGACTTGTCTAAGGAAGTGGCTTCATTATTCATGGTTTGAAGTTTGTGACGGAAGAAGGGAATATGTCAACCCCATGTTTTGTTTGTTCTAAACACTGTGATAGAACTATGGATTGGAATGCCAGCCTAATCAGAGTAAGTAATGGCTATGGTGGCTGTACTGTTTCTTTGGGTAAACAATTGTTAAATAGCTGGTAATTTTCTACCCAGTACTGATCTCTGTATTCCTTCCTATGCCACTTTAAGATAGAATCAGTACAGATTTTAATGCAGCCAGTAGAGGCTGATAGGAATTTGCTGTATCAATATATCTTTCAAAGTCTGGATAATCAAACTGAGGTGATATATTCTCCAGTGATGAATGCCTTGATAGTTCTTCATCTTTCATAACAAGTGCATAGTCTCCATGATGGTCTATAATGAAGTGCACAAGCTGAAGGATGCTTTGCTTGAATCTTCTTAACTCATGTGGGAAAGGAAAAGAAAGTTCCACTTGTCCCCTCCCATTTCATTGCAAATCATTCATCCACCTTAAATAAAATGCTTATGGAAATGTATTGCAATGCTTCAGTTTATAACCTGTGATTCACTTTTAGCAGTTCATATACTCACTTCACCAAATTTCCAGTTTTAGAGGCAATTGATAAGATCCAGAATGAGCGAAAACTCACGTCAAACTGGTTATTCCTTTCTTTCACCACTTTTTAAACTTTCTAACTAAAAGTAGAATTTGTCAAGAAACTAAAGATGTCCTCTAAGTTACTAGCAGGCACCCCTCTCATTCCCTTTCTCCTGCTCCTTGGTGCTTCTAGAGGTCTTGTTGAGTTGGGAACGCCTATCTCCTTTCTGTTGTTTCTCTCCCAGATTAAAGGCTTTGTTTTCCTTGCAAGGAACATAAGTATGTGTGTTTTTTTCCTTAAGGGACATGTATTTGGGGGAGGGAACTGAAGTGACAGTGGGTGGAGTTGGGGGGGTGGAAAGCTTCTTAAGCAGAGGTTGGACATTGGGGAAAGAGGGTTTGTGGAAGGGGGGTCTCAGCGGGGAGAGTGCAGTCAGAGTTCAGAGTAAGCTATAAAGTCTTCTCTGAATGGGCTATGAGAACACTGCTAGTTATCCTCTCTGGCCACCCTCCCTTCTTTTCTACATCCATTGCTGCCCACTTGGCCAATGAGGAAGGAACTAATGATCCTGTGGAATCTTGCAGGTGCTCTTTTGGTGCAAGTCCTGATGGAAAACTGGACAGTTTCAGGGAAAAATGAGTGAGGGTTTTTTGTTTTTGTTTTTTTTCCTTAGAGTGGTGATTTTTGACTCTCTGTAACAATGTGCTGCCTCCACCACCAGCAAGGAGATTTAATGGCTATCTGGATTAAATTGTATTGGACTACAACTCCCAGAATTCCCAGGCAGCTTGGCCAGCAGCATCAGAGAGGGGAAGTCTGGGACAGGGCAAACATGATGTTCAAATCTTGATTTGATAGGAAAACCTGTACAACATTTTAATTTCCCTGTTTAAGCATTCTGAAACAGTTTTTTTATCATTGGTTTTATTAAACTCTCCTTCATCCTTTCATTTTTATTGGATTATTTGGTTATTTTAAATCTTCCATATGGTTCAATGGGTCCTTTTAACATTTAAGACATTTAAGTAAAGTGCTGTATTAATTGGCACATTTTGCTAACCTGTTTCACAAATATTTCGAACAGTTGCCAGGGTTCACAGCAACTCATTAGTATAGGAAGGTAAAATAAACAAGGCAGTTTACAGTTTATATAGTACAAGATATATTTAGGGAATGTTAACAGAGAAACACATTCCTTCACTATTGCACTCAATAGAATTTAATTCTGGTCAACAGAATTTAATCTATGATGAAAGTCAACCCTTTAAAGTCACTGTTTTAAGACAGTGCACATAGCAAAGACATGGTAACCCATACTTCAGGAATGCACTGCATTACTCTGTCATCAGTGCTGCCAAAGCTAGGTGGTTGCAAGATAACAAGCTCTTGCTTGTTACTAATGATGTGCCACCTAATATTGACAACCTAACTAATGCTTTCTTGTCACTAGTAGAAAAACTTTAATCAGAGATTTAAGTCTGAAGAGAACAAACCTAAAAGCTCTGTAACCCTGGGTTTAACACAAACCAGTGCAGCCCACAGAGCAGTTGCGTGCTTCTCCTCCTTTAGCAAAAGACCTACTTCATAACTGCTAGCAGTCTGGGGGGAAACTGCCAAAGGGCGTTCATTGTTTTGCAGGGTATCTGAGGATGTACTTGGTGCTTTGTTTGCTTTCTTTTCTAAAAATGTAAATATTTGAGAAAGATTACTACTGAACAAACTACAGGGTAGAATTTATACATGAATGAACAGCTGAAAGAAGGAAACTCTGAAAGTAGTTTGGGTCAGCTCCTGTCTCCAACCAGTATGTGGTGTTGAAGGGAGAATGCCTATTGATTCATGCAGAAATCCCTTTTGCAAAAATGTGGTTTGTAAATAACCTTCAAAAAGAGGAAAAGTCAGTTCCATCAATATGCTGATTGCTGAGTTTTGCATATCAATATCACTTTATAGAAATGACAGAACATCAGAATAATGAGCTCACAGAAGATGTGACTCCAGTTATTTTTTCAGCTTTTTTATGTTGATGATTGGTATTTATTTATTTTAATTTCACTGGTGTTTCCTACCTTAGCACCATTTATGGCAAATGAAGGCACGTTTAAGAAATAAAAAATAGATATAAATAAGTGAAATCACAAAAAAGAAGGTAATTGGGTACATTAGAAAAAGAGAAAGAAAGACCGTGCATCCCCTTCTGTGAACCTAGCAGGGAGGGGGAAACAAATAGACTAGTACTTCACTTCAGGGAATTGCTTTTGGCTAGGGAAGGGATTGTCATTAAGTATGCTTCTGTTTCAATCATTGAACTGTTTTGTTTGGGGGAAAAAAACAATTTCACATTGTCATGTGTGCAATAACACTTTGTTTTACAAATATTCTTTCTCAAGGCACATGAGTAAGGAGTAAGAACCATCCCATTCAATATATATATGTATATGTGTGTGTGTTTATATAAAAATAAAAATTCCCCCCTCACCCCTATGGGTGGTACGTGTCTTCCTCAATCTCGGGTCCTCTACCAGAGGCCTGGGAGTTTCAGAGTTCTGTACAGTATCTTAGCTGTTCCTAGCACTGCACTCTTCTGGACACAGAGGTCTGATGTTGTTCCTGGGATCTGTTGGAGCCCCTCTCCCAGCTTAGGAGTCATAGCCCCGAGTGCTCCTACCACTGCTGGGAACACTTTGGCCTTTACTTTCCACATCTTTAGTTCCTCCTTCAGGCCCTGGTATTTCTCCAGCTTCTCATACTCATAATGTTGCTGTCACTTGGCACTGATGCATTTATCACCACCGCTGTCTTCTGGTCCTTGTCTACTACCACAATGTCTGGTTGATTGGCCAGTACCCGCCTGGGCATCTGGATCTGGAAGTCCCACAGG